GGAGTGGTCTTTGATGGTTTGGGTGAGTGATTCCCCAGTTTCTCCGTGCCAGACATTCAACTCTCCACCAATATCGCCGCTTGCTATGATTTTCCCATCTCGTGATACCGCCAATGCTCGCACTTCCCTGCCATGCCCCTCCATCTTCTTCAACACTACACCTGACTTGACGTCCCACAGACAAACCGTCTTGTCATTCGAGCATGTGACCATTCGTCGTCCATCGGGGAAAATTACCACACCCCATATCCGTTGTGTATGATGTTTAAAAGTTCGATGAGGTGTGATACTTGGAACGAGCTGCGACATTTTACTGGAGGTTGATGGTGTTGATACGGTCAAAGTGGACTTGGGTGGAGGGATTCTGAGTGTCTTTCTGGTGCAGAGGTGCGATGTACCGTGCGTTTGATGCTGCTCCACTGTGTCTACTATTAACCTGCCTCGTGTTTCCATAGACGCCCAGAGTTTGCTTCCAGTCATCAACAAAAGAGCCCGAAGCATCCAAGGTCTTGTGAAGCTTACATGAGTATGTGTGCTGTGAAAGACATACACAAGTTGTACACAAGGTCTTACATTGCGACATATATATGAATATATGCTTCGGGCAGCATATATTTACATATAAGGTTCAGGCTCTTTTGTTGACGCACTGCTGACTAAGGGATCCAACCTTGGCAAACATCTCGCTTCCGGTGAAGCTTTGAAGTTCAACATTTATCCAATACACCGTATATGTATGGTACCCAGTCGAAGGCGAGCGTCGGAGGGACGGGGTATGACAGACTCCTTATCATTAATATTGTAATTTGTGGACTATCATCATGCGCTTCTTTTTTTTAGATCTTCATCATGTTTGTGTTGCGGACGATAGCCTTTACTGCGAATGCCAAATATACGGAGATGATTTGGAATCTGGATAGACCTTCGTGATGCACCCGGTGATCCAGCCGCTCTAATCGAGCATGAAATACCCTATCGTATCAACGTTCTGGCACTTTGAAGGTAAGCAGTTTTGCTCATATCTCTCCAGACTAGTGTTGATGCATGATGTCTCGTCTCATCCTACAACAGGCTCAATCTTCACCCCCATCCCATCCCTCGCCTTCCTTATATCGAGTGTGGCAAACACGCAGTCCATCAATAGCTATACTGAATTCGACGACTTTCGTCTTCCTGGTCAGTCGGATGAGAAGTGGCGCGAGTTTGTCAGATGCGAGGGTGATGAATCGCGGCTCCAGCTATATGTGGAAAATTGGCATTTGGCAAGAGGAGTGTAATATGGAAAGGAGTCCGCCGTTGTTGCACTTGCCAGAGTGAGGTGAGCGAGTTGTGCAACATGTTTGGACTTGATTTACGCAGATGTAAACTTGAACTGGGAACAACTCAACGTACGCACGACGTCTCGATGCACTGAACCTTAGGTTTTACCTTACAACATGTCCCACTCCTTGATGCGCCACCGTCGGATATCACAACGCTCTAACCAACACGTCGTCAAGACCTTCCCCTGATATCGCTGGACTCGGCGCAATCAATCTGATCATACCGCTAATTCCACACCCCACATACCGGCCACTGAGAATCGGTTTCGTCCTGACATTCTAGGATCCTTACAAGTAAGTAAGTACGATCGATGGATTTGTATAAGACGAATACTGCATGAACAACCATCTCCAAAAGCAAACAGTCTCGACGAAAACAACAATGTTGAATATCACCAGTAGAGAAACGCTGTGGTATTCCGGTAACGCATCGATCGACTCACCAGCATGAGTCGACTGTCACAAATGACATGATAAATAAACCATAAACGCATCACCAGATTCAAGGACGAGGGATGTCTGCCTTTACTACGCGAAAAAGGTAAACCCTTCCAAGTAAGCCTTGCTTAAACCTAAACGTTCTCACCTAGATTTGTTGCAACATACCGCTCATAGGCAGCTGCATACTATCCGCGCAAAGTTACTATAGCCTGTACCAAGAATCGGACTTGGGTGCTGGGATTCAATGAGACAACGGTACAAGGTCATGACTTGGTACACACCCTCTATCTTTATCCACATTCCCCCCGGCTCTCATACTCCATTTTCTCTCCAGTCATACAGAACCTAATACCAGCGAACAACGGGATCGTGAATCTGATGTCCAGGTTTTCTGTACGAAACAGAAACACCCAAACATTAGGTTTACTTTAGATCAGTCCCTGTTTGACTTCCACTTCACCATCACTTCGATCCTTCTTCTCCCGTTCTGCGCCCTGCATTTCAACGTACTACATGTACAATCCCGTTCTTTCCCTTCGTGACCATCACGATCCAGACTCCTAATTCCCACTCTACCCCGATCCCGATCCCTTGTATTTGATCCTGGGCAGTATCAGTGATTCCTGCGAGAAGCACGATCTGACTCGAGGGCCATTTGATTTTTGTTGGATTTGGGTCGGGAAACACTTACTTGGACATTCATTAATTGCTGTGTTGAGGATTGTGGTTGTTTAGACAAATGAGATCGGGGTGTTGGTTGGTTGTGTATCGCCATGTATAATACCAGGAGACGAGACAAGCGCTGGTAGGGGAGGGTGATTTTCTCTGGACTGAAGTAGGGTTCCTAGGGTTCGACTCGGTGCAACGATCGTACCATCAATTCCACAGCCTACATACTGGTCGCTGAGAATTGGTTTCGTTAACGTAGGATACAGCCGTGAGCGGAGTCTACTTAACGTAGATCTTGAGTGCTCTCACCAGCGACTGCGTTGTAATAGATACGTCAGCATGTTCAAGGACAGCAAGGGATACCTTAACGGATATCATCTGGAAGGATGAAGGGGCTAGATCTGCATTGTCCTGGCAATGACATCCGTCAAAGCATTCAGCCAAGAGCTCGGCACCAGAGAATACTTTAACGGATATCATAGAAGAACGAAGTCAAGTCACCTATCATAGATATACATCAAAGTATTCTTGTATACCTTCGGCACCACCTGGATTACGAGTGCTCTGACCAGTGTCTGCAGTTCAAATGTGAGTAGATGTTCAAAAATACTTTGATGGACGTACATTTCTGGTGCTCACCAGGACTGCTATTTGGCGAGGCTGCGTCTTCAGTGATTCTGCAGAATGGCAGGACTATTTTTTTTTGCGATCTTGCCAGTATTTCTAGCGAAGCCAACTGTGTATTTTAAAATCGACTTTCACCAGAAGCGCAGGCAAGACAAATAAAAAGGATACCGCCGGCTCTACAAAGACAAATAGAAGGCCCCACCTAGCTATACATCTACTGCTAGTGTCATGGGGCTTTGGTACTTGTGATGCCGAAGAGGGCCGGCGGTCTGTTTGTGTGATGCGTCTTGCCAGCACTCCTCATGAAACCAACCGTGCACTTCCAGGACGCAGTGGCTTTCGCAAGAAGCGCTGGCAAGACCAAGATGTAAAGAGTACACAGACTTTATTAGAAACCAACATTGGTGATGAACACGATGTTCGACTCTGATAAAGTCACTTAGCATCACCATCTTCAGGTTCACGGCTTTGGACCATCTGTGGATTCATTAACATTCGCAGACCACCACCCAAAGTCGGAAATCAAGATCAAGATGGATGGGTTCGTTTTGATGTACAAGGCGGGATTCCCCGTCGACGATATTCCACAGGGTGCATTCAGCGCTGATAAAATATTGTAAGTTTCTTTATATGAGTTCCTAGCTACATAGATTTGTGCAAGAGAATGGGAAATAATATGAATATACGATCAAGTCGCGGTGACGCAATTGAGTAGCGCAACATGTGTCGTGGGAGAGAGTTGAAAAAATTTACGCCCTTGTACGCGGCTGACGAAGATAAGTCGCGGTGATCTTTGATCGTAGAAATCCTACGCTGCTGACTAAGTGATCAAACCTTGGCAAACATCTATCCTCAGCTCGCCATCATTTACCAAGTAGCGTTGATCACTCACTCATCTTCCACTTGAGCAGCATTGACAGTCTATAATCGCTCGCCACCATAGGGATGCAGTACCATATACTGTATCCATGTGAAGACAAGCGCCGGTGGGACGGGGGTAAGCTTATCATTGATAGTATCAACATTGCGCATCATGAGGATAGCTCTTGGGCCTTGCGCATGGCTCCAGGAGGCAGTTCTTGACTCAGATGGAAATATAGAGGTAATTACTGGTCATACTTCAATTATTGGGAGTTCGAAAGAGCTTATCACTGTCAAAGGGCATCTTCATCACCTTCGTATTGTGGACGATAAACTTTGCTGCAAATGCCAAATACACGGGGATGAATGGGATGGACCTTCGTGATCCAGTGGTGGCCCGACCGCTCTAATCGAGCACAAATGGATTGTTGTATCAACGTTCGGGCGCTTTGCAGGTAAGCAGTTTTCCTCATATCTCTAGACTAGCGCTGACGTCTCGTCTCGTCTCGTCTAGTAGTCACATCCAAGAGTGGTTTGTGCAAACCCTGCTCATGAGTCTAATAGTTCACCAATGGAAATCGGTGCAAGCTTAATGTCTCATATATTTCACCTCACTGATGTTTCGTAATATGGAATTGGGCAAGATGTGTGATGATCCCGATGATCATGCTCTTTTTTTACCATGATCGATGAAGTTCACTACCCATCAAGCACCAGCAGTCACCGATATCTTGAGCAGCACTGTCTAACTTCTGCCTGGTCCAGGCGAGCACTGGTGCCGTGCTTTGCTTGTCATGCGCAGCCAGATGAAGCGGACGATAGCCCAAAGCACCTATTACACCGTCGTTCTCATGATTATCGAGTCCTCCCTGTTATACTTTGTCTCCGCTATTATTTCCATAGTTGCCTCTGCTCTGCATCCGAACGGTCTCCATGCTATGCTTCCTGTTTATTGGTTGAGCCCAGATAAGAAGACACAACATGAGTCACCTGCGTCTTTAACGCAAGGCGCCTCAAAGCTCAAGAGATGCATTTTACGATCGCCATGGACAGGGCCCAAGCAAATGATAGGTGTCTGTATCAGGACTCGGGTGGGATTGAGACGGTACAGTATATAACTTTCTTGATTCCTGACCAGCTCCCATTCTCTCTCCAGTGGTATAGAGCCTAATACCGGAAAAGAAGGACGGAATCATGGTGGTAAGGACACCCTCGTACAGAGACAGAAGCACCTGACCAAGCTTGAGAATTAGATCTACCCAGTACCAGACAAGGTTGCCGAGGAGGGGAAAGGGCATGATGCTGGTTGGGAACACGGACGCCATCGTACCACGTGGAACTCGGTTTGTATCTAGCATCTAGCATATTCTTCATTTTTTTTACTTGCCCAATCACAGACGTTACTTACTGTACCCTCTAGACGTGGAGATCCGATTCAAACAAATTGAGTCTTTTCTTCCATTCGTCGACGACTCGATTGATGTTGACCTCGATAATTCAAAAGTACAACAAAGACGCCATTGCCGAGTACCGTACGCTCCGGCCTTGAGCGCCTACATCGTCGCTCGACAGAGTCGGACAGACAGGCAGTATCACAAGTGCCTTGGCGGCCTGGACCGAAGTAGGCTTGTGATGAGACTGGGCCAAGGACCTGCGGACAAAAAATAATCAGTACAAAAGGTGTCAAGGACACGCACCCTTGTGAACCATGGCACAGCTGAGCCGGGCAGCTTCAAAATATTACATGCGAGAGATGCACCGCTACTTTATATTTCAAACTCCGCGAGTTCTTACTACTAACCAGAAGTTCGACCTTCAATGTTTAGCAGAATTCCAGCCTTAGCGACGACGGAAGAGGCATATGAACAAGGAGCTCGCATCTCACTGCAGATATCGTTGTCCAACAACAACAAACACTTGTTTACATGCACCGCTCTCATCCACAAGGCATTTTCCCCTTTCGCAAAATGCCAGGTCTTCGCAGCGGCCCTCGATATCATATATGGGGATAAATATGTGGACTATCATAGCCGTGCGCTTCTTTTTTACATGTTCATGTTTGTCTTGCACGATAGCCTTTTCTGCGAACGCAAGATATACGGAGATGATTTGGATAGCCCTTCGTGATGCATCTGGGGCCTGGCCGCTCCGTGCACTCTTATCCTCAACGACTACCGTTTCACCCCATGGGAGAAACAGGTTATTTGATGGCTCTTTGTGGGCAGGCTCAGACTTGGTCCATTCCCTTCCATTGTCTCGTATTTTCGACCCTCTGCTTGTTGCCAAATACCACTTGAAGAGGCGGGTGTCCACTTGGGATCTCTCGGCAGCTTGGTCAGGTGGAGTCGTATTTAATCCGCATGTTCTCGTAGCCGGTGCATCTTGGCCTGCTCGCTGTCTCTCTGGGCTTCGAGCCACTCGAACCTGTCCAGTACGCAGTGTGTACGAAATCCGTGGATAGCAGCAGCACGTGCAGGTCGAAGCTAGCAGTTCTGTTCGATCCGAGTCCTCGCCTATAACCCGAATCGTCTTTCATGACCAACTAGTGCCGTTTCTGGATCTTGAGCTTTCGCAATTCGACAACGACGGGTTTCCCTATATATTACCATATAATGGGATTGTGATAAACCCCAGCGAACGAGACTACAAAACTCCGTCGTAAGTACTACTTCAGTCATATGCCATGTATTCAAGTGTTTCAAATTTCCTCTATTCCAAGATCTCCTATTACTCGTTCGGCAGCAAAATTTGTTCAGAAGCAAGCACTATTAACTCACGCGTCATGCCACCAACCATACTGCACCAATGCGAAAGCTGAAACACGACTCACTGTAGTTCACTATCGCGACATGCCACTCACTCATATCCATGGATATATACATTCCCAGGATGACCTACCATGTCAGTGAGTCATGTGGTTATGTAAATCCAGGATGCAAACTACTCAAACTGACATCGATACTGTCATGCCCAAGCGCGTATGCCACCTGGCATTCCTGCCCAGCGCAGCACTTTACATTTAAGCACAATGTGGGACATTTATTACTACTCAGGTCAACGGGACTGGCAGATATTGATGTTGTCAAAGCGGCAACAACGGCGAGGACGAAGGAGAGACGCATCGTGTGAGGATGTGATATGGGATCAAATAAATCTGAAGGGGACGGTAGGAAGACGGCTTGCTTTTACGTGCTGAATATTGTTCTGGCAGAACTTCATGGCGATGTAGGAAGAACCTATCTTACTGAAGATATAATTGATCCTAGAACTTTACGCACGGTTATGCAGACGGTCCGACAATAAAACTACCACGAGTATGAGAAATAGAAATCGTTCAGAAATGAACTAGAAGGGTATAGACGCCTCAGCACCTCCAAGTCCGCATCTACGCTTGCGGTCGTGTTCTCAACGGCCACGGACGAAACCGCTCCGTATTCCCAGGCGTCAATCACTCGCTACCTTCCCGGACCCTCACTCAGTCCCCGGATCAGCATCCTATGAGCTCGTCAACGTCATGAGGTCCTTTGGGTCTTATGGCATCATCCACATCGACATGTGCCTAGATAACATTGGACTAGGGGTTCCAAGGCAGGGACTACGCATTCGGGGTCTCCTCCACTCGATCCCACCTCGACCTCCAGTAAAACGTTGGACCTGATTCAAAGCACCACGCGCGATCAAGAGTTCAAAGATCATACAGACGCCTACACGCTGTAGCAGTTTTGCCCAAGTGTCACCCTTCCATTGTGACTTTAGTCTCACGTGATCAGGCGCGTTCAGAAATATCAATGAGATTCGTCTAATAAGTAATACACAATGCCTATGCAATTTACATGGTGAAGATCGTAATATTAATGCTACAAGAGCAGATGAAGATGGAAGTGGATTGATATAGATGAAAAATCATGATAATGTCGTGTTCCAGTCAAAGTGCAATGTTGATACCGGTGATGATGGTGATGATGATGAACAATGTATGCACTCTTCGTAGATGACCATCCTTGAATCGTCACGGCTGCCTCATAGATGCCAAAACCCCTGCGCAACGTTTGAGTTTTGGTCTTCTGCAGAAGACGGTCCGTGGTCAACAAGACGGAAGGTATGAGTAGGACCACAAATAAGGCAGATATGGATCGTGGATGTGCAAGGTATTTCTGCCCAAGATACGGGCAGCAAGGGGTACCAGGCTGAATATTGCTATCGCTTCGGTTGTGGTTACTGATACCTCGGAGTAGGATGGACGACATACAAGTCGAAGCCAGGAGGGTTGCACCAGAAGACCCAGAGAGCCAAAGTAGGTTGATTCAGAGAAGCTCGCAATAAGAAAAACGCTGACAGTATGGAATCCGTAAGACAAAAAAGGTTGTTTTATCACTGCATCAAAGTGAGTGGGGAGATTGGAGTCAGTAAACATGTCATCAGATGTAGCACCAGAGTTACTCCAGTGTCTCCTTAGCGTCCTAACTAAGTTTGATAATTGTCAGTTATCAGTTGGTCATCAACATGGATTTACAGACGCCAGCAACGAAACTCACCAAGTAAAGTCACAGGTAGAGGAACATCAGACAAAATGTTGATAGTACATGTCTCATCGACGAGTACAGCTGGGTTGTGGGCAATGAACTCATCTGGAGGGTAGAACTAGAAAAGAAACATCCACGCGGAAATATCAGTCTATCATGATGAAGGGGAAGAACGAAGGGGAAAATCGAGTGCAACTCTGAACAATTGGTATGACTCGGAATTTCAGAATCCCAGCGTCCTCATCAATTTCACGCTCCCGCTTTCCCCCTGACAAACTGAAAATTAATACAGATTGCGATGCAGTAGAAGGCTGTATTGTTATGTCGTTCACTAGTGGAAAGTATATCGTCAAGAGACAGAGACAAAAGAGACAAAAGAAAAAATACATGGATGATTGAAATATAGAAAAAGCGCAGAATAAGCTGGTCGTTTCAAGCGGATCTCGAGCGAAACTTGGCCTTTGTACCCTCATAGTGAAGCATAGTCGAAGTTCGCCCTCACAAAAAGGATACGAGTCGCAGAACGACGCCTCACTCTTTCTTCTTCTCTGTGTTCTCCTGTTGCGCGTCGCTGACCAATTTTTCCATCTACCCACCTCTCTCTTTCAATTCTAGTGTGTATTGGTCTGGTTTCGCGTTTCGTTCAGACCCGCGTCCAAGTGATGAGAATGTGATCGGCTAGGCGTCGTAAATGTGAGCGGTTGAAGCTCGCCCTCCGTGTCCTCTCCGGAATCATCAGCGTCGTCGTCGTCGTTGCTGTCGGGATTCGGAAGACGTGGACTTGCCTGGTCAAAGTATAACGTGTGTGCGAAGAAGTGAGGATGCGAGATAGGCCACTAGCTTCAGTAATTTATTGACTTTGGTCTCACGTGATCAGTCAAGAAGGAACGCGCAATTTTTGTAACAGATGTTGATCTAAGTACTGGCATACACCCAGCTGTCTGCAGACGAACATTCCTCCTTCTGTTGGGTGTATCGTCTCCCCCATCTCCTCACATCACGTTCAGCAGTGATTCTTCACAGCCACTGCAGCCGGACAAAAATCAGCCTGATTTGGCACCAACTGGCCGTTATCCTGATATGATCGCTAGCATGTAAACCGAGAACACTGAGGGGGCACAATACCTAGAAAGTACTTACGAGGTGGTAGATACAGACAGTACTGGAAAGGTAGAGCGGAACACTATCGTAGCTGCCGGCCTATCAGTTACTTTGTTCAATGAAGATGTGTGAGTGTAACGCACTTGCAATATGTGAACTGGTCGCGTGTGGTGTTATCGTGTAGTTTCTTGGTACCACCGTCGACCCTCACTGTGGCTGGGCACCGTATACACGCATTGGCGCCAGCGAGGAAGCTGACCAGCGCAAACATGATGAAGGGAGAAGTAAACATGATGGAGTTTGTGAAAGGGAATGAAGCAAAGCCATAGTGGCAGGCAGGTGTTTTATAGGCTGAAACTTTCAGTGTGAACGTAAAGGCGTTGCTGCTGAGATACCGTATTTTAGGTGAAAAGGTTGAGCCAGAATGCATGATAATCTCCGCAGACTCGAACTCCAAGGGAAATGTGCAGCATGATGGGGTCGTGGGGCACGAATGAATCTCCGGTTCCTGGGCGACCTTGGTTTAAAATTCGCGTTGCTCGTCAGATATGTGCACGTTCATCGGACGTTGTGAACAACACTCTCCGTAATATGACCATCCTTGGATGGAATACCGAAAATGTTTGAGTTTTGGTCTTCCGCAGAAAGTTTGTGGTCAAAAAGACGGAATTTCGTAAGGTACGGTTAAGAAATCGAGATGTATAAATAAGTGTGAAATATTCCGGTAAATATGTATAAAACCCAGGTATTGCCTGTAGGGCTGGCCACCGTAGGCCGTATTACAGGTATGTACTGTGGCGTAATACGGGAGCCATACCCGTACCGTCAGAACTTTAGAGTCTGTTCGGACAATAGGGGAGCTCACAGACTGGTAGTGTGACCGGAAGAGAGATTCCTTCCGCACTGAGACCCATCCGCTCCTACAGCGACGTGGTCCGTGCGAGTAGCCCTGTTAAGAACCTTCGGGTCAACCAGGAGATTAGTATGGCGCTGGACGCCGTAACTAGTGTCGAGGTAGAACCCCGCGTAACCACGTCTAATGAGAAATCGATGGTGCACGTAAATTATGAGACCGCAAGTGAGAGAAGTGAACTCACTAGCCACAACGAGGATGGTGGCGACCGTCCATGGACCACGGTGACTAAGGAACGTCGTCGTGGTAAAACCCGGGTCAAAGGCCCTGACGAACTAACCACGTACGAGCAGCGAAACGCAGTGAACGCCGCCCAGGATCAGCTAACCGTGGCTGAGAAAGAAAGGTTAGCTAGACGTGAGAAGGAAGTCAGCAGAGGCGAACCTCGGCGAAATTCCCCATAGACGATATTCAACAGGGTGCTTTTGGCGCTGATAGAATACTGTGAATTTTTTATACCAAGTTCCTAGACTTGTGCAAGAGAAGATAAGATAAGTCGCGGTGATCTTTGATCGTGGAAATTCTACGCTGATGACTAGGTGATCAAACCTCTCAGCTCGCCATCATTTACGAAGTGGCGTTGATCACTCACTCATCTTCCACTTAAGCAGCATTGACAGTCTATAATCGCTCGCCTCCATAGGGATGCAGTACCATATACTGTATCCACGTGAAGACAAGCGCCGGTGGGACGGGGATAAGCTTATCATTGATAGCATCAACATTGCCCGTCATGAGTATAGCTCTTGGGCCTTGCGCATGGCTCCAGGAGGCAGTTCTTGACTCAGATGGAAATCTAGAGGTAATTACTGGTCATACTTCAATTATTGGGAGTTCGAAAGAGCTTATCACTGTAAAAGGGCATCTTCATCACCTTCGTATTGCGGACGATAAGCTTTGCTGCGAACGCCAAATATATGGGGATGAATGGGATGGACCTTCGTGATGCATACAGTGGTGGCCCGACCGCTCTAATCGAGCACAAATGGATTGTCATATCAACGTTCGGGCGCTTTGCAGGTAAGCAGTTTTGCTCATATGTATCCAGACTAGTGCTGACGTCTCGTCTCGTCTAGTAGTCACATCCAAGAGTGGTTTGTGCAAACCCTGCTCATGAGCCTAATAGTTCGCCAATGGAAATCTGTGCCAGCCCGATGTTTCGTAATATGGAATTGGGCAAGATGCGTGATGATCCCGATGATCACACTCTTTTTGCCACGATCGGTGAAGTTCACTACCCATCAAGCACCAGTAGTCACTGAGCAGCGCTGTCTATTTTCAACCTGATCCAGGAGAGCACCGGTGCCGTACTTTACAATGTCAACATCATACTTGTCCACCTCTTCTTCCATGTTGGGCTCACTGTGATCTATACCATCCTCGTGGTAAATCGTTTGCTCATCATGCGCAACCAGATGAAGCGGGTGATGGTCCAATATGATCCAAGCACCTATGACGCCGTCATTCTCATGATCATCGAGTTCTCCCTGTTATACCTTTGCCTTCGCTATTATTTCCATAGTTGGCATCCGAACGGTGTCAGCTCAGCACGGGCAGCCTCGAAGTCGAGCTCCATCCCCGCTTCCACCTCGTCTACCCTTGTCTCATCCTCTAAACCAACCACTTCGCTCAAGGCTCCTCCTGCCGTAGATCATTCTGCGCCGACCACCTCGCCGTACTTTTCCAAAGTATACTTGGATGTGCGGAAACGTCCCTAGCCCAGAGAAACAAGCTGCAAATCTGCTTATGTGTGGTCTGCTAATTTTTATCTTTATATAGGACCGCTCGTCCGAGTCCCCTATATCGCGGCAAAGAAGGATACTGGGAGGTGCCAATCAGTTTGTGTCTAGCATATTCTTTGTTTGTTTGACTTGCACAATTATATGTTTTACTATGTCCCAGACGTGGAGGAAAATCGAGTATGCAATCTGTTCTTCCATTGGTCGATTGTCTTAGAGAACTCAAAAGTATGACATTGCCAAATACCGTATGCTCTGGTCTTGCTCCGGGCAATCAAGAGACTAAACCCCCTAAAAGCCATACTATCCAGATTCCAGACATGGCTGCAAAAAAAAAGTTCCTCGCTCGACGACGCCACGAGCTCGCATAGGACTCACGCGCTGGACATTACGCTGTGTATTTAGCATAAGTAAGATTTCTATTCGGCTTTGCAAATGCTTAAGGGCATTTGTGGCTGTTCGCTACTAGATCCGCCATATCGTCATCTACGCGACAAACGTCATCGGGAGAGAATGTATCAAGACTGCAATCAAGGAGTGGAAGGCATGTCAACGTTACCCTCCAAGCGGACCATCTTGGATTTAGGGATAAAAACACGGTGTTCATTCATCCAATCCAAGGCCTTCTCAAAGTTTCTGCATTGGTGACGAACATTGAAGTTCGGAAAAGGATCTTCGTGTCCCTCCACCCAGTCGTAAGTTAACATTGTCACGTCACCATGACACATGAGTATCTGCCTGAGCATTTCGATGCAATGGTCTGAGGTACAAAATAAGCGGGATATGAGTCAAGCAGGAAACAGTATACGTACCGAGATGAATGCGGAAGCTTTCAAGGGATTCGTGGTTTTTGTGATCAGAGGATTGGCCCCTGTCACCCCAGGTAACTCTGCGGAGCATGTTCTACGGTGGGGTGAGTAAAGATCGACTAGCCTCCCTGTGTAACAACTGACTACGCAATGGAGCTGGTGAGTGGCTTCTCCTGCTACCACGTAACCTCCGCCGTATTCATCTGGGTACCTAACCATGGAGGGAGAAGGTTTCTCCCCTGTTCGGAGCAGTTGCTCAAGCGTCAAACGACCTTGGCGTGCTGGGAAATATCATCAGTAGTTGCCTATGTTGGGACGAAGCATATGGCGCAACCTCCAAGAGATACCCTATCCCAAGCAGCGTCTATTTCTGGGGACGGACTGCCACGATATATGGAAGGAGCGTCCAGACTTCCGTTGAATCTTATAATGCCGATGGATTCAATAGCCTCGTTGGCTGGAGCTGTCAACTCGAGTAAGTAACTTGTGTCCTCGTTGACGTTATCTATCTATCCACCCACAGTACACAACCACGTCATCTATCGAAGGCGCCCGTACCCATAGCGTGAAGAACAATATCGTTGTGAACATCAGCACACCACGGCTCAGCCACGGCAACCAGCGAACGAAGCGGGATTTCGAAGGAGGTCTAGTTTTTGTACCACCAAGAAGGTTTGCATTGTCACGATCTTCGTCACGATAAAAAGAAGTAGAATATTCCTTGGACATGACTCGCGAAAGAAAGAAAATCTGGATCTACAGAATTAGTGGAACGAGTATGCAGTTAGTGGGTCGGATGTGAACAAGACAGTCAGGATACATTTCAGGTTGCAGAATAAGTAGTACCATGGCTATGTAAGAGCCATCGCTGCCAGGTAAGTATTGGATTTGCCAGTCACTGGTACTGTCATACTGCCAGCGATCCCGTGGAGCCAAGGACCTCCTTAGGATTTGGGTCGGAAAGGAGGCGCTTGTAAGCTAGTGTGTAGGCGCATCAGTGAACTGATGAGCCGCAGATAAAGTCATGTAAAACGCCGTAATCGACGCAAAGTACCCTGGGTAGACTCACGAGTTCTCTGATGGCCTGACTAGTAGACTAATAATATAGTATAATTTATGTGATGAACTGGCAGCACCTCGGTCGGCACAAACTTTATGTAAGTAACGCGGATCTGGAGCGAAGAAGGACTGCCACGTCATCATGCATCATGCATTCATGCATTCATGATTCGCTGGCAAGGCGTTTATGGACTTGTGAGATTCTATTCGGAACCGTATGAACTTCAAGTTCACTGGTTCAGGGCTTACTCGGTGGCACACGGTATTCGGCCCATCGGTGCGTCTTAACCATTTCCATAGCGAACTTTCACCCTCAAGCACCTGCGCTATCCCTTCACCCTCGTATTCAGTGGCCAATGGAGTTGGCTTCTCCAAACCTCATGCTTAAAAATTTACAGTACTCTCCCGTCCATGATGCTGTCGATGATGACGATGACGAGCAAGCATTTGGTGATGCAGAAAGGTTCGGTGCAGATGCTGCAGAACCTCGTCCAAAGTCGCGTATCCTTCGCCTGTGGCCTCGCCGGTTGGTTGATGCTGCCCTGGTATGCACATCGATGCTCTTTTTCGTGCTGTGGATGGGCACACCTTCGCCTCGCCTGCGCGACGACATTCCTGTATACTGTGGGTGAACAAACCTGCATCGAACAATCAACAAACAATCTAAATGATTTATTACAGCTCCAGCAAGTGGTGCTGTCGAGTCCACGGTTGTAAGGTTTAACGGAACCCTCGACTTTCCTTCTATCTATCGTGGTCCTCCTTCCCCAGAAATCGATGCCGCTTGGACCAGAATAGCTCGTGCTGGTGCGTCGTTCAATATTATACTAGTTAGTGATTGTTCATCTCCATGAAATCCCAGTGCTACCGACTCGAATGACGCTTGAGGAGATGCTCAAAAGCCGGTGAAGTCGATTCACCTTCGAAAGTCAAGTACCCAGAAAAAGCCGGTGGAGGTTTTATGGTATCCATGGAATCACCTCACCAACTGCATTGTCTGGTAAGCTATACTACGCCGAACGTCTGGTCATTCTTGGCTCACATCATTATAGAACTTGCTTCGCAAAGCCTCATGGATGGAGTATTACGGGCCTATAGAGCCTTCGTTTCAGGACGATCCCGAAGTAGTCCGTATGCATCTTGGTAAATATTCTTTCTGACTTGAGGTATCTCCTGTTTATGATATACCGTTACACTTCAGATCACTGCCTCGAAATGATCAGGCAGACTATCATGTGCAATGTCGACGTGACGATGATCACATGGGACTGGGTGGCGGGACACAAGGTTCCCTACCCTAACTTCAACACCCGTCACCAATGCAGGAACTACGAGAAAATATTGGATTGGGCTGACAAGCATGCTGTTCATATCGATAAATCGGAGGTCACTCGCTTCGAAGATACAGTTGACATCCCCTTACCCTTTCATGTGATGCACCATGAAGGATAAGGATTATTTTCTTGCCCGCTTCATATATTCCCAAATATCTCGGCGATGATTATTAGCCTGACAGAATTGTCGTATAATCATATGGGACTTACATTCGACACGTCCATCGTACATTGCTGTCTTGCTAAACAAGATTTTCTTGTTGACACGGATAGTAGTACTATGTGTATAAATGACACTAGATGTAAAGGAACATGCTGAATCGATGCAACGAAGACTCAGAGTCAAAAGGGAGAGCTGCTGCAGTCGGCGACAATCACTTCCCCATGGATGCGGCCATGGACAGGGATTGTAGCCTGAAGCTTATTATGTATGTGTATGATAGTTGTTCATGCAATACTTGCATGCGCAGGCAGAGGATCCAGATTGCAACTACCGGTGTGGATACAAGCGACGAGCATTATCAACCTTTTGCACAAAGTCAAGTATGTAATCTTCCCTTTTCATTCGTCGATTGTCCTAGAGGACCCGAAAGAACCCCATTGCCGAGTACGCTCCGGTCTTGAAGCCCGAGTGCCTACATCATCCCGGGTGATCGGTAGCAAACCGTTCCTTACTCGATGACGCTACGAGCGCATATGGGAGCCATGCGCTGGACATTACGTTGTCTGTGCAGATTGGTGCAGCCACAATTGGAGAATAAATGAAGCGAACGATCGCATGTATCTTCCATATCATGCTGATCTCGGATTCTTCGCGTTTGACACTTTGACCACCGAAGAGTAGAAATTCGAGCTAGTATCAATGCTGCCACATATGTTTTCGTTGCCCTACACTCGTCAGCAGGACAATGGGTGTAATTCCAAAGGCTGGCATACTGGACTGGACGGCAAACGACGACAAGTTTTGATCGGCTTTAGGGATGATAGCTCAACAGCTTGAACCCTAACACCACCGTCAGATTCCTTTTGATTTCGCGTTACCTGCTTCAGAAGGGAGTGGTAACATCATTTCTCAGTGAGAACGGATCGTCGGCTATTGATGTCTGGTGCGAGTAGCTCATGGAGTTACGAGTCGGAGCGCACCTCTACCCTCTTGCAAAGTACTCATGACAAGATCACGTAGTGTTTACTTGCTCGACTCCATCTCTGCTCAATACTCGTCTCACGTCCTCCACGCTGGCCTCGAGTCACTGGAACGGTGTGTTTGCTCAGTTGTACTTTGGATTGGTCACCTGGTCACTCAGTACTCAGCGCGCACCTTCTCGTATTTCGACGCGACGTATTTAATGTACTATGACCTTCTTTCGTCTTTGCCTGGACAGAAGTAGTGCTTGTAATAGGACCGAACTGTGCCAAGGACCTGTGGACAACAGAGAACTCAGAAAAGGGGTCAAGGACACGCACCCTTTTACTAATATTATGTAATGATCCACCACTACACCGTTATATTTTAAACTCCGCGATTCACTAACTTGAAGTTCGACCACCAACCTCGAGATGTTTTTTTTTCAGCAAGTCTTCACCCTTGGAAGAGGTATACGAAGGAGGTTGCATCTCACTACAGATATCTCTTTATATATATATATCCATTTTTTTGTCCATTGAGAGTGAGACTCTATGTAGAAGCGTACTATCTATGTAGTCTCGGGACCCCGTGTCCCGACCCTGACTCAGATCCCCCATCATTCCGCCGTTCTCGCCTACCGTTTTAGGTGGGCAGTCTGTCGAAGAAGGGGTGACTATAAGTAAATTAGTGTGTGAGATATCTCTTTTAGACAACGACAAACCCTCGTTCATATGTGCCTCTCTTATCCGCAAGGCATTTGCCCCTCTCACGAAATGCCAGGTCTCTCTCGTCGACATCGATGATGCTCCAGGCTTGGCCTTCCTCATTTGGTAATAGCAAAAATTCATGATCCTTGTTTCAACTACCAGCGTGATGACCCTTTCCCAAGACGAAGCCCCGGACATCAAAGCGCGAGTGGCGAAGATGAAAGGTTGAAGCGTAGGTATGGGCATCAAGGCATAGCGGAGGTGATGGTCTAGATATACAAAGGATAAAGTGACAAAGGCGGATATATATTGTGAGAATCTGAAATGTTAAAGAGAAACAGAAAAGGAAATAGAAACAAAGTCAAAGCGTACTGAGTCAGGATCGTTCAAGTCCTTGATGAAGCGCGCGTCCAACGTACGCTAAAAGAAAAACCTTCCTTACAGAGATCTCGTTTAGAGACGAACTCGAAGGGTGCAAACGTCTTGAACACCTCCAGGGGGCGATGAGTCGCAACTTCAGTGGTGTATGGAGAAGATGGGTGTTTGGCAGAAGTGAGTGATGCTTGGGGAGAAAGTGAGCGCTTATTCGCAATGCTAGGACTTGATTTAACCCCTTATGCATAGAGATGGCAAATCCTGCAACTCAACGTACGATAACGGAGTGTACCTACAACCCGCCCTACTCCTTGATACGCCAGAAAAATGTATTTCAACCAACGCGCCTCAAAGAGCTCTGACGTACTCCGGGATGTACTAGACCCGTTCGTTCCCATCTTCGGGAACATCTGGGCTAACCTCCGCGATCCTACTCTCTACCTCCTGATGTATTTGATCCTGGGCGGTGGTTACTGCATGAGACGGATGATGAGGAGAAGAAACATGATCTGAGGGCTTATTTGTTGGATTGTGGAAGCAGTCACTGCACATGTCTTCATAATCGACCGTTCTATCGTGCTGATCTGAACGCGTCAAGAATTCCGGCTGTTTGAAAGAGAAATCAGGAGGTGGTCCAGCTGTATATCAGCACGTATATACGAGGGCTGGTAGGAGGGAGGGTGGCTTTATCTAGACCGAAGTAAAATTCCTTCGGATCTCCTACCCATACAAAACGCGCAGTCCATCGAAAGGCGTACGATAGGGTATTATAGCGTACGCGGATCTTGAGTGCACATCGGCATCCAACTAGCATCTGCATTTCAAGCACATCAGCAGATGTTTAGAGACCGCTTTGACGGATATGGTAGCAAGGACGAAGTGACCGTTTGTCTTCGCGACCATGTCCGTCAAAAGTATTCTTGAATGCGCAGCGCAACGCTTGACATCACCTCGATTTTGTGTGCCCATCTCCATTTCAGATATGTCGGGAGATATTCAAGAATAATTTGACGGACATCGACAGACGAAGCGCAGCCAAGAGCTCAGCACCGCCTGGCTCTACATCTCATGTACTAGTTTGGCGAGGCTTCAGAAGAACGACGGGCCGATTTTTGTCTTGCCAGCGCTTCTCGCGAAAGCAAATCTAGGTATTGGATACATTCGCCCGAAGCGCTGGCAAGACCAATAAAGAGGGTAGAGACTTTATTGGAACCTGACATTGTTACCATTACCAATGCAGGATCCAAAAAAGTCACTTACTATCTTCACGCCATCTCCTTCTGAAGACGGTCCAAAGCCGTGTGCTTTCACTTACCAGGCTTACGGAAGAGAAAGGGAAATAAGATAAGCGTCGTGTGTTGTGGAGTCGAAACTAATATGCTGCTGACTAAGCTACGCAAGCCATGGCAAACATCATGATGCTTTTCACCATCGAAGTTCATCATTTACTGCAAGCGACAGTACTTAATCACTGACATGAACCCTTGAGCATCATTGTCAGTCTACAATCGCTCGCCTCCGCCGATATACCCAATATAGCTCCATTTGGCATCTAGGCGGAAGCGAGTGCTGGCGCTGCATCAACATTGAACCTACCTCTGCATCGCGGCAGCATGGAAGTATGGTCCGCTGATTTATACCATTCTCGTGGCGAATTCGAGTTGTTTGCTGACCACGCAAGGCCAGATGAAGCGGCAGGTGATGGCCCAATATCATTCTAGCACCTATGATAACGTGGTCATCGTCAACTCATCGAGTCCGCTATGTCATACTCTATCTTCGCTATCATTTTCAAAGCCGCCTTTGCTATGCATTGGAACGGTGTCACTATTCAGCTAAGCAGACAAAACCTGAGCTACTGCGTCTCTGATGTTAGTTTTCCCAGGAATTGCCCAATTATTCATCATCATGCGTGTTGCACGGGGTCGGGCAGTTACACGCGACTGGCCGAGTCGGCTGCAGCACTTACGACTATAGTATTATCAGGGACACAGCAGAACAATCAAACGATGAGCGGATAGGTAGGCCAGAACAGGACGTTGTTCAGCCGTATTCTGTTTCCGCGAACGCAGCAGAAGCAGACGTGTGTATAGCATGGCATGATGTAATGTTCGTTTAACTTTATCCTTGATTTATACCTGAATGGAATGTTCCTTAGTTGCTTTACACCCTGCTGAAGGTCTTTGTATGAAGCAGGGACGGGACTGTCACAGACTATCAACATTCCGCGGTGTCATGACGGAAGGTCTTGGCCCAGGAGGCTGTTCTCGACTCTCAGATTGAAATTTAGAGGTACTGTCCATATGCCAATGGCCATGGGAATTTGAAAGGGCTTATCACTCACATAAAAGGGTTGCTCATACCCGCTGTCGCTCAGCATGCCGCAGCCTGTCACAGAAGCCTCTCCCTGGTGGAAACTCTTCTCCGGGCTTTCCATATAACTACCACTTCCCCAATCATCTCTCGCTATACTCTTAGTTACCTCCACCACTTGCCAGTGGATAGACAGCCTCGGCAACTCGTATCTCGGTGTGTTGTCTCAAACATCCCCTCCCCTCGTCAGTGACTACGCTCGGAGTCATGTCATCCTACACCCCACAGACAGATCTGTCGCTTGAACGATCTCGACTCGATGGAATGGTCGTAGGTGGTGTATCCTACGGTATGTTTTCGGACAATATACATCCTTCAGAAGTTGATATATATGTATACCGCAATAGGCGTATTCTTTCTCCTCACAGTACAAACCTGGATCGCTCTCGTACAGCGGTCTCGATATGGAGATAAAACTGTGGGCCATCGTCGCGCGCTTATTTTGTACATCTTCATCACGTTCGTGTTGCGGACGGTAGCCTTTGCTGCGAACGCGAAATATACGGAGATGATTTGGATAGACCTTCGTGATGCACCTGGTGGCCCGGTCGCTCTAATTGTGAATGAAATGGATTATCGTATCAACGTTTTGGCGATTTCTTGGCAAGAATTTTTGCTTATATATCTCCAGACTAGTGTTGACGCTTTGTCTCGTCTAGTGGTCACATCCAAGAGTGGTTTATGCAAGCTCTGCTCGTGAGCTGAACAATTCGTCACACGGGTGCAACCCTGACGCCTTATATACTTAGCTTCACCGATGTTTCGTGATATGGAATTGGGCAAGACGCGTGACGATCCCGATGATCACACTCTATATTGCGATGATCGGTGAAGCTCGTCATTTATCAAGCGGCAGTAGTGACTGACATTTTGAGCAGCACTGTCTATTTGCGGACTGATTCAGGCGAGCAACGGTGCCGTACTTTATAAAATCAACGTCATACTTGTCTACCTTTGCTTCCATGTGGGGCTCACTGTGATTTATACCATCCTCGTGGTTAATCGTCTGCTTTCCATGCGAAGCCAGATGAAGCGTGTCGTGGCCGAATATGATTCTAGCACCTATGACACTGTCGTCCTCATGGTCATCGAGTCCGCCTTGTTATATTCTGTCTTCGCTATGATTTTCATAGTTGCCTTTGCTCTGCATTGGAACGATGTCTCCACCGTATGCTTCTTGTCTATTAGCTCAATACAGGTAAGCAGACACAAACCTGTGTTACCTGCGTCTCTGATGCTAGTTTTTTGTTGAATCAGGGTATTGCTCAATTATTCATCATCCTTCGCGTCGCACGGGGTCAGGCAGTTACACACGAATGGTCGAGCCGCGCTGCTGCACCTACGACTGTAGTATTTGCAGAGACTATATCAGCGCATTCAAATGGTGAACAGATAAATAGGCCACAGCAGGACCTTGTTCAGACATATTCTACTTCCGCGAAGGCAGCGGGAGTAGACGCGTGTATAGCATAAAATGATGTGACGTTGTTTAACTTTATATGTACTTGGTTGAAACCTGAATGTGATTTTCGCGCTACAGCCTGTTTAAGGTATTTGTATGAAGCAGGGATGGGGCTGTGACAGACTATTGCGCGGTGTCATGACGAAAGGTCAAAGGAGACTGTTCTTAGCTCTCAGATTAAAATCTAGAGGTACTGTACATATACCAAAGGCTATGGGAATTTGAAAGAGCTTATCACTTACGTGAAAGGGTCGCTCATACCCGCTATCGCTCAGCATGCCGCAACCTGTCGCAGCCTGTCATAGAAGCCTGGCTCCCTGGTGGACCCTGGTGGAAACTCTTTTCCGGGCTTTCCATATAACTACCACTTCCTCACTCATCTTTCACTATCCTCTTGGTTGCCTCCACCACTTGCCAGTAGATAGGCAGCCTCGACAACTCGTATCTCGGCGTCTCGTTCCAAATATCCCCTCCCCTCGTCAGTGACCACGCTTGGAGTCATGTCATCCTACACCCCACAGACAGATCTGTCGCTTGAACGATCTCGACTCGATGGAATGGTCTTAGGGGGTGTATCCTACGGTATGTTTTCGGACAATATATATCCTTCGGAAGTTGATATATATGTATACCGCAATAGGCGTATTTTTTCTCTTCACAGTACAAACCTGGATCGCTCTCGTACAGCGGCCTCGACATGGAGATAAAACTGTGGGCCATCGTCGCGCGCTTATTTTGTACATCTTCATCACGTTCGTGTTGGGGACGATAGCCTTCGCTGCGAACGCAAAATATACGGAGATGATTTGGATAGACCTTCGTGATGCACCTGGTGGCCCGACCGCTCTAATTGTGAATGAAATGGATTATCGTATCAACGTTTTGGCGATTTCTTGGCAAGAATTTTTGCTCATATATCTCTAGACTAGTGTTGACGTCTTGTCTCGTCTAGTGGTCACATCCAAGAGTGGCTTATGCAGGCTCTGCTCGTGAGCTGAACAGTTTGTCACACGGGTGCAACCCTGACGCCTTATATACTTAGCTTCACCGATGTTTCGTGATATGGAATTGGGCAAGACGCGTGATGATCCCGATGATCACTCTCTATGCTACCATGATAGGTGAAGTTCATCATATACCAGCGACAACACTAGTCACCGACATCTTAAGCAGCGCTGTCTATTTGCAGCCTGATCCAGGCGAGCAACGGTGCCGTAATTTACAAAATCGACGTCATACTTGTCTACCTCTGCTTCCATGTGGGGCTCACTTCGATTTATACCATCCTCGTGGTTGGTCGTTTGCTTTCCATGCGAAGCCAGATGAAGCGTGTCGTGGCCGAATATGATTCTAGCACCTATGACACTGTCGTCCTCATGGTCATCGAGTCCGCCTTGTTATATTCTGTCTTCGCTATGATTTTCATAGTTGCCTTTGCTCTGCATTGGAACGATGTCTCCACCGTATGCTTCTTGTCTATTAGCTCAATACAGGTAAGCAGACACAAACCTGTGTTACCTGCGTCTCTGATGCTAGTTTTTTGTTGAATCAGGGTATTGCTCAATTATTCATCATCCTTCGCGTCGCACGGGGTCAGGCAGTTACACACGAATGGTCGAGCCGCACTGCTGCTGCACCTACGACTGTAGTATTCGCAGAGACTGTATCGGCAGGTTCAAACAATGAAGGGATTAATAGCCCACCACATGAGACATGTTCTGCTTCCGCGAAGGCAGCGGGAGTAGCCGTGTGTATAGCATAAAATGATGTGACATCGTTTAACCTTATACCTGCATGTGATCTTCTTTGTTTGTGTTACAGCCTGTTGAAGGTATTTGTCTGAAGCAGGGATGGGGGTGGGACGCTCTCGCACCCCAGGAGGCAATTATTGGCTCCCGCATGGACATCTCGAGGTACTGTACTGTTACCTTATGTCATTTTTTGTGGGAAAGAGCCCTTTTACAGATGCTAGTTTTTGATCGCAAGTCGACAGGGTGGATTGCTATCACTCACGTAAACGGGTCACTAATACCCACTGTCGCTCAGGGCCTGTCGCAGATGGGCCTTAGTCGCCCTGACGGAAACCCTAGTATTCCTATTTGTCTATATAAGTAACTGCTTCTTCCCCACTTGTCTCTCACTACCTACTCGTCTCTCACTATCGTCTTGGTTGCCCTCATCCCCTGACCTCGTCAGTGACCAAACTCGGGGTCATGTTATCCGACCAGGCAGCTCTGTGGCTTGAACGATCTCGTCTTGATGGAATGGTCTTAGGGGGTGTATCCTACGGTGTGTTTTTGGTCAATATACACAATTTGGAAGTTGACATATGATATTACAACAGGCATATACTTTTTCCTTACAGTACAAACCTGGATGGTTGTCATGCAGCAGCCTCGATATGGGGGTAGAAGCCGTCGCGTGCTTCTTTTTTACATCTTCATCACGTTCGTATTGGGGACGGTATCCTTTGCTGCGAACGCGAAATATACGGAGATGATTTGGATAGACCTTCGGGATGTACCTGCGAGCCCGGCCGTTCTAATCCAAGACCAAATGACCTATCCTATCAACGTTCTAGCGATTTCCACGTAAGCAGTTTTGCCTATACATCTCCAGAGTAGTGGTTTTAATGCCTCGTCTCGTTAGTGGTCACATCCAGGAGTGGTTTATGCAAGCTCTACTTGTGAGCCGAATAGTTCGTCGTATGGAACTCCGTGCAAGCCTGACGCCTTGTATACATAGCTTCACCGATGTTTCGTGATATGGAATTGGGCGAGATGCGTGATGATCCCTATGATCACGCTCTACATCGCCATGATAGGTGAAGTCCATCATTTACCAGCAACAGTACCGGTCACTGACATCTTAAACAGCAGTATCTATTCTCGTTCAGATCCAGGCGAGCACCGGTGTTGTATATTACAATATCGACGTCATACTTGTCTACCTCTCCATCGAAGTGGGTATCGGTGTCATTTACACCATTCTGGTGGCGAATCGTTTGCTCGTCATGCGAAGCCTGATGAAACAGGTCGCCCAATATGACTCTAGCACCTATGACACTGTCATTCTCATGGTCGTCGAGTCTGCTATGTCATACTCTATCTTCGCTGTTATTTTCATAGTGTCCTTTGCTCTGCATCTAAACGCTATCACTACTGTATGCTACCTGTCTGTTTGCCAAGTCCAGGTAAGCAGACAAAACCTGAGTTAACATGTCTTTGATCCTCGTTTTTTGTCGATCCAGGGCATTGCTCAATTATTCATCATCCTTCGCGTTGCACGGGGCCTGGCAGATCCACAAGATTGGTCGAGTCGAATTGCTGCAGCACCTACGATTACAGTATTCTCAGGTTTTGTATCGGACACAACGGGAAAATCAAATGATGAAAGTATAGCGAGGCCAGAGCAAGCCATTGTTTAAACGTCTTCTGCTTGTGCGAAGGCAGCGGAAGTAGACGTGTGTATAGCATGAAATGATGTGACTTTATCCTTGACACTTGTACTTGATTTATACCCGAATGTTATTGTTTACACCCCAGGCAGCAGCCTGTTGAACGTTTTTGTATAAATACCCTTGAGTGAGGTCATGTATCGACAATTGCCGCAGCACACGCAACAATTCTTCGTTTTTTTCTGCAAATTAAATCACGTCGATGACCGAGTGCGTCCCAGTCTGGCGAATGGGTAGAATCTGAGAGCGTGCTTACCCGTGTCGCCCAGGCATCAGTAAAACCTCGACTTAATCAGACTTTTTTGGACTTTTCGATGGATTTCACTTCTTTTCAAAAATGAGTGGCCTTTTCAATTGTTTTTCTTAATTCACTGCCTGGTCCCAGCTTGAGTATCAGGAATAGTTTATTATTATTATCCACGTCTGTTGCAATGGTTGGAGTTCACAATTTGTAAATATTAGAGTCTGTTCGGATAAACCAAATTTTGCCAAATTTCAGAAATATGGTGCTTTGTAATGCTGGGGGTCAGTGTGACATATGTGACAAGCCATATCGATAACATGCCCGCTACACGATCTACTACTAGATTGACTCATTCAAGTCGTAACCGCTGTGGACGTCTACAACACACCATGGTCCGTGGAAGGAAGAGCGCACTGGAGGGTCAAGATGCGTCTGAAACCAAAGACCGATGCATCTGGACACAAGACGACGAAACACACCTCATCCAGTTCATCACTACACACCAGTCTAAGGGTGGCGATGGACTGAACTTTGACAGGACCTTCTGGACCTCTGTTGCTACTGAGATGACTAAACATACTACACAAGGTGCACCAAAGACACTCGAAACATGTCAATCAAAATGGACATGGGTAAGTTTTTATTGCATCGCATCAGTACTACTAGCCTAGAGTCTGTACTGATAAGACCTTCAGCTCCGTAGCACGTTCGGTGTTGTCGACAAAGTAGTGAACTATTCTGGCTTGTCATACAGTCTGGACCATGGCGCCAACATTACAGCTGTATCTGAGACGGTATGGACTGAGATATTGAAAGTAAGTGCTGCCAATGCTCCGCTACCACTGGCAGCTACTAATATGATGCAGTCTACTCCCACCGCAAAGCCATTCAAGAATAATGGCTGGGTGCACTACGAAGCAATGAAGGAACTCTTGCCATCAAAAACATGTGGCAACCATGCTTTCTACACCCACATGCCTGCCGATAACATTGCACTGGTAGGGGCTCTGAGTCAAGCTACCACTTCTCAGCCCCTAGCTGGCATGAGTTTTGATGAAGCCAATATAGTTGACCAGGAGAAAGCATTGGACGACATCGAGTATGGTGCCGACACTTCACCAGATGTAGATATCAACATGTTGCCACCCTCTCCCTTTGATGCGGCACAATGGCCCACCTTCACACCCTCTACGCCGGGCACTTCTACTATTGGCAGTGGTAAATGAAAAGCAGGTGGAGAGTCAGGTGACAATATGAGAACCTTTGCTCGCCCTCCGGGCTCTACAAAATCCGCATCTGAGTCAGGGAAGTCCGTCAAGTCACAGTGTGTGGCTATCCCACAAGCTTTCCAAGACATGAGTAAGGAGATTCATAATCTCACCAACTCCTTTGATCATGCAACAGATGTCATGCAAGAGCGCACAACTCAGGTTGCCTCACGTCCCGTGGTGGATCCCATTCCGGTGCGCAAGCAGAAGGCTATCATTCAGCTGCAGAAGGAGGGTCTGGAGGACCATGAAATAGTGGAGATTATCAAGCATTTCCAAGCTGATGTTGCCATAGCTGATTCATACCTTGTCATCGAGAAGGAGAGCACCCGGAAGCTTTTCTTATCAACCTACTTGAACTAGATTTTCGCTGTATCATGCTTGCATTTGACGTTGTTAGTACTACTAGAAGTAGTATCGAATATCATGACACTTTGTTGCGCAACTGTCTATGAAACATTGACACAAACAACTATGAAAAATTGACGCAAACAACTACAAAAAATTGACGCAAACAACTACGAAAAATTGACGCAAATGACTATGAAAAATTGATGCAAACAACTACAAAAGATTGTCCCCTATGACCGACTGACCTCTCTGCTGTCTCGTCCAACAGTAGTCCTCCCACATCCGAAGGGCAATTGCGTCACGATGTTGGTGTGCACGAGTGCGTGCCTCTGCAGTGGGAGGACCTTCTGCAAGTGTGCCGACATCATACTCAGGCTCATTCAAGTCAACCTGGCGGTAGTCCATCATATCATTCGGGTCATGAATACGGATGACATTGTGCACCAGGCACAATGCCGCAGGGATACGAACCTGCACGTCCATTGCATAATGAGGTGGGAGAAGCAGGATTTTGAAGTGGTTCTTGAGCATGCCAAAAATACGCTCAACAACGTTTCGGAGCATGGCGTGGCGTAGATTGAATAGTTCTCTGTGATTACAAGGCCTAAAAACAATATAAGTACAAGTAGATCGTAGCCTAAGTTGAATATTACTTACGCCTGACGTCCACGACCCCATTCAGCGAGATGGTAGCATACTCCATGATATGGCACAAGTAGCTCGTCACATGCAGCAAATCCTGCATCAGCAAGATAGTATTTGCCTGGAGGGATGTTGAATTCTATAATGCGAGCATCATGATAGACACATGCATTGGCTGCTGACCCCTCCCAGCCATTCAGTATGTAAAGGAACGACATGTTGAAGGAGCAGGCTGCGAGACAGTTGTAACTTAAGTTGCCTTTACGATCACGAGCTGCATCACGATCATTGGCACTAGGGTGGCATGTGATATGAGTACCGTCTATAGCGCCAATGGCATCGGAGAAGTATGGGTAGTATTTGGGGTTTTGAAGGATTTCGAGAGGTGTCGGACTGTCTGCGCTGGGTAGCCGGACATATAATGAATAAATAGGGGGGGAGGAAAATGCGTTGAGAATACGTTTGAAATACCTTCAAAAATAAGCAAATTTGTTGCTAACCAGTGCTGGGGAATAACCTACTTTGATATCGTCTCATTGGAGTGCTGAAAGTGTTCATCAAGATGGTGAACAGAGAGACCTGTGACACATGCATACAAGAAGATGGCGAGCTGCTCCTCAAGCATGACATATTTTGAACTCTTGCACCCTGAATCGCGAAGTAGATTCAACAGTACATAGAACACATGGCCACACACCAAGTTCACATTGTATGTGATCTGGGTGTCCTGTGAGGAGTTCGTTGACCCATGCCATTCCAGACAGGGCTGAAGTATGATAGGGCTGCTTGTCATAGTGAGTTTGTGAGTGATCTTGGAGTACTTGGCCAGCAGCATCAGCAATAGCCATCGCTACACGAGCAGCACCACGGAACATATTGTCTATCCAGTGCAGCTCGTATACATCCAGCTGGTCAGAGTCCACCACATCAGCACAATTGGGATCTTCATCCGCACTGTCATCGTGTTCCTTGATGACGGTGCCATCTTGGTCTAGTGGGTCTAGCAGATTGAGGTCAGCATTGAGGTCATTGGGATCCATGGTGTTGCACAACAATATCACGTATGGGCTCATCGATATCACTGTTATCAGCGTGACATCATTTTCGGTCTCCGACTATTTGGTCTTGTATGTGTTAAACTGGAATTTCGAAGTTGGTTGGCAAAAAACATTGTCCAAACAGACCCTTACCACTTCAGGAGAGGATTTGAAAATAAAAATTATCTGTACTCTGTGCCACTTACTGGTAACAAATTTCTGTTTTTGTGTTTTTAAACATGTTTCTTAGGTTTATAAAAGATATTGGAATACATAGGTTTGGATCAGGCAGTGAATTAAGAAGAAAAATTGAAAAAAGGCCACTCATTTTTGAAAAGAAGTGAAAACCATTGAAAAGTCCAAAAAAGTCTGATTAAGTAAGTTTTACTGATGCACAAGGAGCCCGGGGGGTGCAAGTTTGAATTAACAACACCTCAGATTTATCAGAAAGTTAGATGTGCATGGTCATGAAATGTTGGGAAACTTCATGCATATCAGTCAATGAGCTTGGCCATTTTGCATTTTGTATAGAACCTTGTGGTATTCATTTTGCTGATCATGATCCTGTTTGAGTTGCATGTTGCAATCATTTTGCCAACTTTGTTTCTTGTCAATTTATCCCAGTGCCGAGATACACCACTTCTGTCCTGTTATTTCAACCACAAATTTCAAATATTGTACCCTGTGAAGATCATTGCTTAAACCTTGCTTGGGAGCTTAATGTGGTCACTGCTTTTGCCCCTGTTAGGTACTGTGCCGGCTCAGGAGGCAGAGGGGTCGAGGCTTGGCTTCAGCTCTTGCGCTGCGCCCTTAGCCTAGTATGTGCCCCGAATTTGGAGTGGGTCTGACTTTGTCCGACAATAGGACGAGTGGACCGCTTCGGTCCGCTTTGAGGGTTGGGAAGTAAGAGCTACTAGCGGTGAGCCGACTAGGAGCGGGGCAGAGAAGGCAGGGAGTGATGCGGAGGGTGGATAGGAGCAGGGGAAGGTTTGGTAGGAGCAGGGAAGGTGGAGGATGGGAAAAGGGACAAGGAGAATATTGATAGGGGTGGAGGAATAAGGGAAGCACTTAGAGCACGGCTCTAAGTTGGAGCAGAGGGTCAGAGGATCGGAGGGTTGGAGGCGACAACAAGTTGAGACTTGTGTCCAGAGGAGGCAAGGTCCTACTGAGAATTCTCACAAGAGGTAACTGCGAGAAGACAAGTAATATTAAGACTGAGGAAAATATCTAAGTACATGATATGTTATATACTTCTATGTATGAGGCAGTGACCAGGATAACTATGTTGTAAAGCTATGTACCAAGGATATAATTTGTAAGTACTTACACAGGTGAAGACATAAGTCGGAGTGGATATCAATATGTACACGTCGGATCAGTGATCAAGTGGCAATGGGAATTACCAGTGATCCAGAAGTAAGGGTCTATATACCGAAGGGGAAAGTATATATCTAAAAGGGGAAAGAGGTCCAGTTGAATGGAGATGTTATGGAAGGGGACTGGTTGAGCAGTTGAGTGGAAACGTAGGAGTGGGTGTGGATGATGATTGGATGGAGCAGAGGATGGGTGGAGTGGAGGTGATCGGAAAGTGGAGCGGATATTGATATTAGAGTGGTCGGATCAGGTATATGACAGCCCCAGGAATTCATGTGTAGGGATCTGCAGGGGTAAACCTGCAGGTATCAAGAGAATAACCCATACCCATAACCATCATTTACCTGTACCTGTACACCCATGGGTACCTAAGGGTATGTAATGATTAATGGGTTGAGTCGACAATGACGATGACGAAAAGCAACTATGTTGACTACCTACATGTGCAGTACATGTGTCCACATGATTATGTAAGCTACACTAGAGCTGCCGAGATTATATTTCTATCACAACCCCTTGAATGAGACATGGTCTATGTACCACTGCAAGTAATCATATGAGCAAAGTGGAACTAAGGGATAGTGTATCAGAGGAAAGGAATGCGGGGTGAGTAAGATTGGCTTGTGTTTCCTTACAAGAATCTGATGAGTCAGATTCGGGGTCCATTGATGGTGATGGGCATTTCTTGGCAATGTGGCCGAAACCATGACAGTTGAAACACACTAGTGGGTCAGTGTTGGTATCGTGGTGAAATTTGCCTCGTCACTAGGTGGCATGGTATGCTGTCCCTGACTGATCATGATGGTGGGATTCTTCATTCAGCATTTGTTTGACAATGGAGGCAATGCTAAGATCATTGAGTGGGGTAGCACCTATGGTGGTAATGAGGGGGGAGTACTCAGGAGGTAAGCCATGGGGGAGTGTGACAATGACAATGGTTTTGTTGACATTGAAACCGGCAGACTTGAGACAGAAAGAGAGGTCTTGAACAGAGGCAACCCAGGCCTGCATTGGTTGATCATGCTCCTTGACCATGGTTGAGAGCTTGCGAAGCATGGAAAAAATGCGGCCGAAGCCATGGGACTGGTGGATACGTGAGAGGTTGTCCCAGATAGCCTTGGGATCACCATCATCATTATGAGCATGAGGGAGTTGGGAAGTGGAGAGGTGAAAAATGATTTTTGCTTTCGCGAGCCGCTGCTTGCGGACGAATGTTTTCATTGCCTTGTGTTAAGGTCGTGCTCAAGGGAAGAGTAACTCAAAGGGCTTGGCTTCAGCTCATGTGCTGCGCCCCTTACCCGAGTACGTGCCCTTAATTTCTGAGGGGCAGAAGGGAAGTCCGACAGAAGTCCAGGTAAGTCTGGAGGTCAGACACAGGGGGAGTTCGATGGAACTCCAGAAGGCTAGGAGTGAATAGAGTAAGGCTACTTTGGACAAGTCTGGAGTAGAAACAGAACAGAGTTAGACTACCCTAAGGTAGAACCAGAGATATAGTCTTAAGGATTAAACCCAAGACTCAGAGGTGGACAAGAGATCAGGCTCAAGTCCGGAGAGACAGGAATGAGCAGGAACTAAGATGATATTTGAACCGAGGAGGTACTGGAATTTTACAGGAGTTTATATACTGTAGATATCATGTAAGTAATCAGTCAGCAAAGTAAAAGCTATGCCCGAAGCATATTGAAAGTCTATTAGTAAGTGTACAACAGATCAAAGAAATGAAATCGGAAATGAAGTGCAGATGGACAGATCAGTAAGCAAAGCGGAAAGGTGTACAACCGGTAGCCAGAGAGCAGTATTCTAAAAGGAGATAGGTGTGAGTCCGGAGATGAAAGCAGAGCGCCAGGCAGACAACAGGATGGAGACCTGGACTTTTGTAGGGGAGAATCCGGAATTCTGGGTCTGGAGGTATGGGATATGACACCTTGGCATTCAGTCTGAGATTGGGCTTAGTCTCTGTACCATTCACTACATCCAAAAGGTCTTGTTCATCCAGCAATGCTTCCATCTGCATGCTCCACTCAGCGTAGTTCATATCATTGAGTTTCTCGAAGGCGAGTTTTGACATAGTGGACAGTTGGTGGGGAAAATGAGGGGTGGTATACAGGCAGACAAAACAAAAAATGGCTGGATTCAAGGTTCTCGGCTAACCTAAACAGCTGGATTCTGGGTTCTAGCCGACCCGACGGCTCGGTTCAAGGCCTAGCTTGCCTATAGGGTCGAGTTATAGCTCAAGGGACTGTTCAGTGGCAATTCAAATTGAAGCTGGGCCAGTGGGGGCATGGTGGCATGCACAATATGATGTCAACACACACCTTATCAATCTGTTGAGCTTCTTGGGCACCTCTGGTATCATCAACCACTGAGTGAGAAGCATACAAACATTGAAATTCTGTGCGAACAAGTTCTTTAGCAGTTTCAATCCACTCTGGCTTCCAGCCTGCAGACTTGAAGTATGAGAATTTGTGGCATGGGTGCAGCACTAAGGCAAAGTAAGGATCACAAAGTACAAAGTGGCAATGTAGCAAAAAAAAATGCACTCATAGTAATGTGGTACACCTCAGATAAGTTAGTGAGAGAGTAGTATCAGTTGAGAGTCTGTTTTGCAAGACCAAGTGCAGCACATATAGCAGGCTCCAGCTGTTCCTTCTTGATGATGCAATTTGTGAAGACTTGGTTGATGTGGTCCATGGTCAGGATGACCATACCTAAGTTTGGCATTGAACGAGAGAAATACAATGTTGCATCTTTGAGAAGCTATTGAATGACTGAGCCACTGATCATGTGACACATTGTGTGTGAATGTTGCCTTCAGTATATCCTGCAGCTGTCTTGCCAGTGACCACTTGTCTTCATTTAGCTCATATGCATCCAATCCCAATTTACATGTGTCAGTTATTGCATCAATTGCCTTTCGGTATTCCAATGTGAAGTCAAGCATATTTAATGTCAAATTCCACCAGGTGGATACATCTTGTGGGATGATTCAGATAGGGAGATCTAGGTCATTGAGGATTGTTTTCCATGCTGGGAGAATGATGGTTGTTGAATGGATGATTTTATATGCAAGTTTCCAGAGCTGTCAGGAAGATCAGTAAGTCCAAGTTGCTTGCTTTTTTAAAATCTAACCTTGACTAGAACAAGTTTCAGTGGGTGGATACTGTCAGTCAGTTGCTCACACTCTTCCTCTTCCAACAGCTGCAATTCATCCACCCAGCCCTCATTGTTGTCAACATTGTCTATGCCCTTGTTTGGGTCCTCATCTGCCATTTGTGTGTCCTTGATATCAATATCTCTGGTAAGTTTGTTGAGTTCTTTGTCCCTGCTACTAACAGATCCATTTCCCTTTGATTTAGGTGTGTCGAACTCGCAGATTAGTGACTTTGCAATGAAATTCACAATGTGTAAAAAGCATTGTGTTCAGTTTGTATCACCTGCAAAATGGGCAACATGATCTGCAAGTTCAGCAACTAGTGTGTTGTTTGACAACACATTGTTTGCTGTGACTCTTAGCATCTGTCATGGTGCATATGTATTGAGCGCTGATGATTACTCGTGTCGGTAAGTCCCTTATCTGATATTATAAAGTTGTTTAGAATGCATGCAAATGCATCTGCTAGATTTGCACTGGTATGGGACTATGATCAGTATCAGCATGTGTTGCATGTTTTGGTAAGGGTTCCTACCTTCACAACCTGTTACACAAAACCTCTCGGATGAGATCTGGTGGCACTAAACCCAGCAAGTGGTGTTCATAGTGTGGCTTTCAGCACTAGCCCAGCAAGGAGCTTGCCTATGCTTGGTTTAAGTAAGGGCCGAGGCCCTTACTTGCATAGAGTCAATTGGAGATTTCTCAAGGATACAATCCAAGAGAACAGATTTCAACTCAAGAGTATCGTCTCAAGAGGAGATGGTTCTTTGCACTGAGGGAGTTCTCTTAGGTAAGAGAAGTTCAGACCCAAAGACAAGTACAAGATGAGAACTGAGTAGATTCAAGTTAGAGAATCTATCTACTAGAAGACAGGTATATATAAGTAATGTGGAGGTACCAGTTGAACGGTAAGAGTAAAGGGTATGCAGAGGCAGTACCGAGATAGCGGTAAGGGTCAGGGGTATGTATGAGTCACAATCAGAAAAGGGTAAGAAGTACTGGTGGAACGGTAAGGGCAAGGGTAGGGCATAGGGTTATATAGAAGCATCAGCTTCTATGATATAGGGGAAAGAAGCAAGAGCTTCTCATGTTTCAAGACAACATAATCAAAGAAAGAAAGATATAAATGGAAACATAACCATGGTTCAGGTCTAGATGAGTCTGAAGAATGAAATAACACATAACACTCATGTTACTGTAACACAACCTCAACGATGTCAAGTATTATTGACAATGGCTGACCTTCATGCTGTAGATGCACAGATATAGCTACATATGCCCTATGGTTGGGCGATGTCCAGGTATCTGTGGCAAAATTCAACTCACTGTCATAATTCTGGTAAGTCATTATTATTTAAATTGTGTCACTGCATGCTAAATTCAACTTACTTGTAGCATTCATGCTATATGCTGACATGTCTTAATGAAGACTTGTTTGACATCACGTGTGATTGTTGATGGTGAAGGTATGTAATATTCTGGGCATCCTGTCTTCATTGGGTTCTGAAATCCTCGATCATTGACAGTTTCAAATGGCTGTAGACTCTCCAACACCCAACATACAATCTCTGCCCTTGTCAAGTCCTCTCAGTACTTGTTCTGAACAATTCCAGCATGTGACCCACCTTGTTTCTGAACATGTGTGTTGACAATGAGAGTACATAACCTTCCCTTTTCCTTTTTGTTCAAGTGATGTTTTGATTGACCTGTTATACCAAGTGTAACACAGGCAAACAATCAATTAGCAAGACAGTCGGTCTTGTGATACATTCTAGACAGATTTCTAAAGACTGTCCAAAGTCAAAGAAAGGCTCAGAACTGAAGAGGTATCTTAGAGTCAAGTCAGAAGTGTCAAAGGAAAATCAGTGTAGGTTAAGCTGAAGAATCAGCATAACCTAGCTACTGTTTATATAGTAGTATGGGTACAGGGTGTGAAGTAATAATATGTAATGACCAGTAAGCTACATGTGTGAAAAATGAGGCATCTGAGTCATACCAAACTAAATATACACTGATAAGAGACATGCGTGGTAAGCGTGGATCAAGGGAAAGAAGAAAAGAAGTTCATGGAACACAGCCATAACATCACCCTGTTTCAAGCAGATTCTTGATAACACCATCTTGTGCAGCAGCAGTGTTGCCAGATTCCATTACAGCTTGCAAGGCTGCATCTCCCCAGCAGCTTTTGACATGTTTTTGCCTATTGCTGGTTGATTTTGCATCTTTCTTGTCAAGGTACCATCAAATGCAATGTTTGCAGCCCCATGCTGTGCACTTGAACACATGGCAGCAGTGCTTGTCATGATATTCAATTTCTGGTACTGGTTCAAAGAACACATAGATCAATGATGTCCAATCGTTCATTATCCTTTCTATAGTAATCACGTCACATAATGATTAGCTTTTCATTGTGATTCTTTGAGTGTGTACATACTTAGTTCAGTCTCCAATGATTCACCAGGATCTTTGACTTCAATGTCACTCTTATCAGATACATCAGAGTCAATTGTGATAGCATCTGCATGAGCTAGCTCCTCTTCTTCTGTGCAGACAGTAGCTCAATAGGAAGTCAATGATGGACCTTTGTTAGTAGTCCAAGTCTGTTCGACATCAACAGATGCCATTATCTTGGTCCTTTTTGATGCAATGGTGGAAGTAGAAGCCTTATCTGAATCAGTGGCTTTCCGCTTGGTTCAGCTGTCTTCCATGGCCATAGCCAGTACCTTCTCTGTGGGTTTAATTATCCTTTTAGGTAACATCTTGTGACACTTGGAGAAGAGTGAGGAAATATTTTAAGGTTTTTGTTCTAAATGTGGTAGTAGAGTGGTATTGTACAGCTATGGACAATAAGGTACATTAGTGGTCCAGGGGTGTGACCAGTGGTCTGGGGGTACTATCAGTAGTTCAGGGGTCCAGGGGTCCTGAGGTCACTACCCATACCCCTACCCTTAGCTACCCCTACCCATGACCCCCAGGGGTTACCCATACCCCTGCCTATCCCTACCAGGAGAACATTCAGAATCAGAATCACATATCATATGTGCCCAAACCCAGAACATCTCCAAGCCTGAATCTGCCATCAATGTGGGTAGGGACTTTCTTCATGGTACAAATTACTGTAGAAACTCAATAGAGAAAATCTAACCAACACAAGAGGGAATTGTTGGATTCTGGATCAAAGTCCAAGCAGGACACATCCAAATGAGAGATTGCAAGCACAACCATACAACATTTGACATTGGCTGTCATATAGTATGTTATAAACTGTCAATTCCTATGCTATGAAATTTTCTTTATATCACTATGCTAAATACCTATAAAGTTACCAAGTCCTTTGTTTGTACATCTCAGTTCCTATTGAAGACTGAGATGTAAGCCTTATGTTTCCCATGCTAGTGATTATAATGAGCTAACATACCCAGTAGAATATATTTGTCTTAACAGCTCACTTCCCACTCTCACTTGTCTGTGATCACCATAGGAATGAGGAAAGGTCTTACCACATGTTATGAGCTGGCTTGTGCCGGCCTTAACCAGCTCAAGCTGTGGTTCATACATTCTTGGCTTTAGCTGGTTTGTGTGCATTAGGAAAAGTCCCAGTTGCTTTTTTTACTTATTTCATCACTTAATTACATGAAAAGGGACATATCAGTTGATTGAGTGAAAAAGCGCGAGCTGCTTAATTAAGCCCACTTGTCATCTGGATTTTCGCTGATTTCACACTTATTTCACTTAAATAAGCAGAAAAAGCAGTATAAGCATAGGTGGGCATGTAGGCAAAAAAGCAGTCAGCGGCAGAAAACATGATAGTGGCACTGGGGGAAAACATGATAGTATGTGGTGGAAAACAACTGTAGGACAGCAATATTCATGCACTGGCAGGTGCTGCAACAACAACAAAATCCTACAACAATGGATGTTAGTGAGAGGACGCCTGAATGATAAATACTACTTATAAATCATAGCACACTCATCATCCTCCAACTTGTCCTCGCTGAGCAAGCCCGATGGTGTTTCAGAGACATCATTCAAGGTGGCACACGCCATCTGTACTGTGGTCTCCAGGTATCCAGCGGGCTTGCCTAGCAGAGATTTGATGAATGAATTAGTCAGTTTAGCCCAGCGAGCTGCCAAAAATAAGAACAGAACATTGGTCTCCTTTCCAGTAGCTTTGTTGAGGATCTTTGGCAGCTTGATGCTAACCCAACCTCTCGATGCGGACAACAGAACATTTTGAGCTTTGAGTTCTTTCTGTGCAATCATGGTGATAGCGCGCTCGATCTGAAAAAAATGAGCATGATTAAGGCATTTTGAATTAAACTCACTGCTGCAGCAGAAAGAGCAAGAGGGTGTAACATCCCCCTCATTGCAGGTGCATGCATGTCAAAGGAGCGAACCTCCACATACCCATTGATGGTGTGGAGGTGTGCTGTGCCAAATAGCTGCAATACGAAGGGTGAGCGGTATGCAGTGAGTGGAGATGGACTGTCAGGGTCCTCAAACAAGAATGCCCAGTCAACAAGAAGGGATTTGGTTAGCTCAACAGGATCCACATCGGAATTTTGCATCAAAAAGTCCATGATGATGACTAGCCCTGTAGAGCCAAAATTGCTGTGCCATTCTGAAATGTGTTGTGCAGTCTGTATAGATATAGTAAAAGTCACTAAAACTAGAAGTTGAGCACTACCTTGGCAGGTCAGGCAATTGCAGTTGATGGGCGGGTGCGACAAGGACTCGGAGCATCTGTGGTGGATATGACTTTACAGATGAGGGAGACAATTTTGCTGGAGCAAGAGGAAATAATAGAAATGGGGTTTCAGTTGAGAAAAAACTTGTAAGTCCCACCCAACAGGCGCCGACTGTGGCATGCGCTCACTAATCAGGGTTTTACCTATAGTATCGAACTTTGTATAGTACTATTACTAGTACGTGTGTTCTGCACTTCAAATTCTCTGTTTTACTCTTTTTTTTCTGGATTTTACAGTCAATATGTCTGTCACTCGCAGGGACCACAGTTCTCTTCAGTTTCCTTGTGGTTACTTACAGTGTGCACATCATTTCAAGACTCAGGGAGGGTGCAAAAAGCACTGGAATGCTTTGCACCCAATATTCAGACAAGCTCCTACTACCACCAGTGTCTCACATACCACTACAGTTGAAGATCAGCCTGAAGTACTGGACGGCCACTTCCTAGCAGGTGACAACCTTCCTGCAGGTATATCTGGCCCAGGTCAGGCACTCAATGAGCCTGACATTCCAGATGATATGAACACAGAATTTTTGGGGCCAGGCGACAGATTATACCGCAACTATCACCCAAAACTAAATGGTATGTTTCATTAAATCCTTCCAGCTAGCTACAACTAACACAAATATTAATGTAAGCTCGTCCTTGTGATGTGACAGGATGATTCCTCACAGATGGAGTGCCCCCAACACCACCTCCTAGCAAGTCACCTGATGACTGGACTCCATATTGAAATCATGTTGAGTTCAAGACCACAGAATTTCTGTACACACACAACCAAATGTCTGCTGGGGACATCAATATCTTATTGGATCTTTGGGCCACAACCCTTCTTAAACACAATGACAAGCCTCCATTTGCGGACTGCCATGATTTGTATAAAACTATTGACACTACGCCAGTGGGTGATGTCAAATGGCAATTGCTCAAGGTCCAGTACACTGGGGAGAAGCCAGAAACCTCTCAGTTCTGGCAACTCAAAAACCTTCTCAACCTCCTCCAGAACCCCACCATCACCCCTTCACCTACTACACCCTGGCTGATTGTTAGGTACCGTGCCGACTCAGGAAGCAGAGGGGTCGGGGCTTGGCTTCAGCTCTTGCGCTGCACCCTTAGCCGAGTACGTGCCCCGAATTTGGAGCGGGTCTGATGTTGTCTGATGGTAGGATGAATGGTCCACTTTGGTCTGCTTTGAGGGTCAGGGAGTAAGAGCTACTAGTGGTGGGCTGACTAGGAGTGGAGCGGAGAAGGCAGGGAGTGATGCGGAGAGTGGATAGGAGCAGGGGAATGTTGGTAGGGGCGGGAAAGGCGGAGGATAATGCGGAGGGGCGAAGGAGGATATTTGATAGGGGCAGAGTAATAATGGAAGGACTTAGAGCATGGCTCTAAGTCAGAGTGGAGGGTCGGAGGGTCGGAGGTGACAACAAGTTGAGACTTGTGTCCAGAGGAGGCAAGGTCCTACTGAGAATTCTCACAAGAGGTAACTGCGAGAAGACAAGTAATATTAAGACTGAGGAAAATATCTAAGTACATGATATGTTATATACTTTTATGTATGAGGCAGTGACCAGGATAACTATGTTGTAAAGCTATGTACCAAGGATATAGTTTGTAAGTACTTTACACAGGCGAAGACATAAGTCGGAGCGGATATCAATATGTACGCGTCAGATCAGCGATCGGGTGGTAATAGGAATTACCGGTGATCCGAAAGTAAGGGTCTATGTACCAAAGGGGAAAGTATATATCTAATAAGGGAAAGAGATCCAGTTGAATGGAGATGTTATGGAAGGGGACCGGTTGAGCGGTTGAGTGGAAGCGTAGGGCGGAATGTGGACTTGTGATTGGATGGAGCGGAGGATGGATGGAGCGGAGGGGGTCAGAAAGTGGAGCGGATATCAATATTGGAACGGTCGGATCAGATATATGACACCGATCACCGCATCCACTGGTACCTCTGGCTGATCCGCTACAATAGGCCACCTTTGCCCTCATCCGCGATAAATCTGTAGTGCCATTGGCGGCTGAGGAGGTATGTATCACACTAGTTGCTGTTGATCGCGTCAGTGATCTGTGATAGCGATCCATGATATACACAGCATGTAGCTCACTCACTGGATTCATAGGACCCATGTCAGGCTTCAAAGTTTTTGTGGTGCCATTAAGGTTTTACTATGTGAGTGAATGGTGTTTTAGTCTTGAGTACAGGATACTGTCATATCCCATACCTCTGGATCTGGAATTCTGGATCCCCTCCACTAAAGTCCGGTTCTCTGTCCTGTTATTTTGCCTGGTGCTCCGCCTTCATCTCTGTACTCACCCCTATCTCCTTTTAGAATAGTTATTGCTCCGGCTACCGGTTATGTCCTTTTCGCTATGCTTACTGATCCGTCCGTTCTGACTTCATTTCCGACCTCACTGCTTTGATCTGTTATCCACTTACTAATAGACTTTCCACATGCTTCATACATAGCCCTTACTTTGCTGACTGATTTACTTACATGATACCTACAGTATATAAACTCCTGTAATACTCCAGAACTCCTCAGTTCGAATATCATCTTAGTTCTGCTCATTCCTGCATCTCTGGACTTGAGTCTCATCTCTTGTCTACCTCTGAGTCTTAGGGGTTAAACCTTAGGACTAATTCTCCAGCTCTACCTTAGGGTAGTCTACACTCTGTTCCATTTCTACTCCGGACTTGTCCGTAGTAGTCTTACTCTGTTCTCTCATAGTCTTCCAGAGTTCTGCTGAACTCCCTTGACGTCTGACCTCTGGACTTCCCAGACTTCCGTCAGACTTCCCCTCTGCCCCTCACTGAAGCTGAAGCCCTTTGAGTAACCTCCTCCTTGAGCACGACCTTAACAGATACCAGTACTTACTCTGAGTTGATAATTGGCGTCTATCGACAATTTCCTTTTTCGGACGACCCCTATACAATACTAGTATATGCAACTCTTACTAGTACTACTACTACTACTACTTATTTGCACTTAAATTTTTTTTTCTTTCACTTTTTTCGCTATCTGGACCTGTGAATTTGAACACGCACTTTTGCAAAAGTATATTAAGTGTGAAAATTAATGTCTTAAGTAAGTAAGTGACAAATAAAGTAAGAAATGTTGGAGTCTGAACGATCCGAGTGATCAGAGATGAAGAAGACTGACTGATCCAAAATGGTTGAGGAGGGAGAGTGACAGGTGGTCCAAGCCAAAGCCAAAACAGACATTGACAAGTGACGTATTGACGTCGGCTCGTGTCCTGCAATATTGTTAGGTACTGTGCCGGCTCAAGAGGCAGAGGGGTCGGGGCTTGGCTTCAGCTCTTGCGCTGCGCCCTTAGCCGAGTACGTGCCCCAAATTTGGAGCGGATCCAACGTTGTCTGACGATAGGACGAGTGGACCGCTTAGGTCCGCTTTGAGGGTCAGGAAGTAAGAGCTGCTAGCGGTGGACCGACTAGGAGCGGAGCGGAGAAGGCGGGGAACGATGTGGAGGGTGGGTAGAAACCAGGGGGATATTTGATAGGAGCGGAGATGGCGGAGGATAATGTAGAGGATAGGAAAAGGGGTGATAGGAGGATATTGATAGGGGCGGGGTAACAAGGGAAAGACTTAGAGCACGGCTCTAAGTTGGAGCAGAGGGTCGGAGGGTCGGAGGTGACAACAAGTTGAGACTTGTGTCCAGAGGAGGCAAGGTCCTACTGAGAATTCCCACAAGAGGTAACTGCGGGAAGACAAGTAATATTAAGACTAAGGGAAAATATCTAAGTACATGATATGTTATATACTTTTATGTATGAGGCAGTGACCAGGATAACTATGTTGTAAAGCTATGTACCAAGGATATCATTTGTAAGTACTTTACATAGGAAAGACATAGGTCGGGGCGGATATCAATATGTACGCGTCAGATCAGTGATCGAGCGGTAATAGGAATTACCGGTGATCCGGAAGTAAGGGTCTAAGTACCGAAAGGGAAATCATATATCTAAAAGGGGAAAGAGGTCCAGTTGAATGGAGATGTTATGGGAGGGGACCGGTTGAGCGGTTGAGCGGAGTGGATGCAGACGATGGTTGGGCAGAGCAGAGGATGAATGGGGCGGAGGGGGTCGGAAGGCGGAGCAGATATTGATACTAGGGCGGTCGGATCAGGTATATGACAAATATGTTACTTATTCATTTGATATATTTTTCATTTCTACATAGCTTACTATAAGAACACCACCAGTAGCACGAGCACATCTCAGCTTCTTTCAAGAGACTGAGATGTGAGTTAATAGTCTCTACTTATAAATTGGGACGCAACTAACGGGTTGTTAGTATACTTGTTCACTAGAATGTCCCAGAAGCCCCGCAATAAATTACTCACCACAGGTTATGAGCCCTGTCTTGACCATGGATACTTCACTCCCCAGCTCCAACACCACCCTGCTTAACATCCCAAAGCTTGCCGAAAACAGCTTGAACTGGATAACCTATAAGGAACGGACATTAACAGCTATTGGCACTAGAGGTCTGATGCGGTATACTGATGGCCAAGCAAGTGAGCTGAAACCCTTTGCGGTTGACCCAAAAATGAAGGCTATCGTGAAGCCAGATGGGACGACGCCTACGCAGGTGGATTATGATGAATTGGATAAGCACATCGACAAGTACCATCGGAAAAACTCGCTAGTGAAGCAGCAGATATTTAGCACAATGTCATATACCTGATCCGACTGCTCCAATATTAATATCTGCTCCGCTTTCCGATGACCTCTGCTCCATCCATCCTCCACTCCGTCCAATCACAGTCCGCATTCCACTCCTACACTTCTGCTTGACCGCCTGACCGGTCCCCTTCTATAATGTCTCCATTCAACTGGAACCTCTTTCTCCTTTTAGATATATACTTTCCCCTTTGGTACATAGACCCTTACTTCCAGATCACCAGTAATTCCTCTTACCGCTTGATCACTGATCCGATGCGTACATATTGATATCCACTCCGACTTATGTCTTCACCTGTGTAAGTACTTACAAATTATATCCTTGGTACATAGCTTTACAACATAGTTATCCTGATCACTGCCTCATACTTAGAAGTATATAACATATCCTGTACTTAAATATTTTTCCCCAGTCTTAATATTACTTGTCTTCTTGCAGTTTCTACTTGTGAGAATTCTCAGTAGGACCTTGCCTCCTCTGGACACAAGTCTCAACTTGTTGTCGCCTCCGACTCTCCGCTCCAACTTAGAGCCGTGCTCTAAGTCTTCTCCTTGCTTCTCTGCCCCTATCAAAATATTCCCCCTGCTCCTATCCACCCTCCGCACTATCCTCCGCCTTCTCTGCTCCACTCCTAGTCGGCCTGACACTAGTAGCTCTTATCTCCTGACCCTCAAAGAGGACCTAAGCGGTCTACTTGTCCTACCGTCAGACAACATCGGACCCGCTCCAAATTCAGGGCATGTACTCGGCTAAGGGCGCAGCGCAAGAGCTGAAGCCAAGCCCCGACCCCTCTGCTTCTTGAGCCAGCATGTCCAGAAGCTGAAGGATGCATCCAAAATCTGGGAAGAGATATGTCAGATCCATGAGGGGAAGACAGAGCTGGTCCAGATAGACTTACGTCAACGGATGCAGGAGATGAAGTGTGATGAGGGAGGAGACGTCAGATCTCACTTCGCCGAGCTCATGAGGCTCCACGAACTACTTGCAGTCATGGGCGTCGTGATTGCCGATGCAGATTTTCATGCAATAATCCTGGGTTCCCTCCCCAAATCATACTGCCCGCTCCTATTGTCCATCACAGCAACCTTCAAGATCACAAAAACTCCCATCACCTCCTATGAGCTAGTCACCATCATAACTGAGGAGTATGAGCACAGACAACTCACCAAACAACGTCCTGGGAAGAAGGGAGCTAGTACAGCCCTCGCCGCCAAGGAGACAAAAGGCAAAGGCCAAACTTCACCATCCTCCACCAATAAGACCAACCCCGATGTTACCTGTTTTAACTGCAATCAAAAGGGTCATTACAAGATGGACTGTTGGAGACCCAGAGGGGGAAAAGAAGGACAAGGTCCGAACCAGCAGAAGAAGAGAGGTGAAAAGACACAAAAGCAAGTGGCTAACTCCGCAGCTGAAGCCGAACCCCAAGATCAACATGCTTTTGTCATGTCAGACTTAGCAAGCATAGCAAAAGACCTGGGCTTACCTATCGAGAAGAGAGGCGCAATTGTGGATTCAGGCACAATGTCACATTTCTGCCCAGATTGATCAAAGTTTAACAACTTTGTCACCATTCCTCCCCAAGACGTGCATACAGCTGATGGTTCGACTCTAAGTGTGATCGGTTGAGGTGACGTCAAGATCGACCTCCCACTGGGTAATAAATGAACCATGGTAACGCTCAAGAATGCACTATATGCACCCACTATGGCCTTCACCCTC